TACATATGAAAGAAAGAGAGAGGATAAGAAATTGTGTGCACTTTGTCAAACACATGTGCATTATGCAACGATGCTTGTTTCCTGGCGTAATTACGCGTTTTGAATTTATAAATATTAATGAGGCACTCGTCTAGACGGGTTTCCCCGCTTCAAATTGTTGCTTCAAGCGGTGGATCTTCTTTAAAAAAAAAAACGAGAATTGAAAAGTAGGTTGTGTATATCGTGAAAAACTGTTGATTCAGTAATTCCATGATTAGCATGAATCATGAAAAGAATTTAGATGATTATTATTAATATATTTTGATGCGATCATACATTTTACATTTTTTTATCGTAATTATGTATTTATATATATGTAATGCAAAAGTTAGAAGAAAGACTAATTCTTTATTTATAGAGATATTTTATTAATAATTGTTACCACATGTGGTTATTGATTGAATTTTGTATTTCATTGAATCATTAAATAATTTTATAATACATTACGAGGTAATCTATAAGGATAGCAAAAGCGTTCGTTGTTCATTGATTTCATTCGCTTATTGAATTAATCACTATGATTATGGAACAACCACTGATAATGTAATCGCATATTATATTGATTAGGCACGTAGGTATCATTGTTTAACGAACAATGAGCGATGCATAATTATGATCTGCTGTGCCATTTTATCTATCATGTTTTTGCTTTACATTTTCATACTTTGCATATTATCGCAATGAAGCTTATCATGAAATATCTACAATTCTATTTCAGATTGTTCTAAATAGTATAATATTCGTGCAATTAATACTTCAAAGCGTAATATTCAATTTAAAAATTTTGCGTTATAATATTTTTTATGTGAGTATTGTTATTCCTATTATTTCGCTGTTTGCACACGAATAATAGAATCTTTTACAATGAGATTTTATTATAAAATTTTATTATAAAATTTCAAAAAATAAACCACCTTGTTTATCGCTGGTTTGTCTACCTTATCGGCTACTCTCGTTTTCGCATCTTCTAGTGTACCCGTCGTTTATCGACAGTAGGAGTACTTGATGTTTCCTGAGCCTGAAGAACTGTGTCACCGGCACAATCGAATATACCAGGATTGATCTGCATGGCAGTCATAAGTTTGGCGAACTTACAAATCCCGCGAGCACAACATACTCACGTTTTATAAACAATAATGCAATAAACATTTGAGGGAAAGGGAGAGTAAGATACAATTTAATTTAAAAATAAAATAGAAAAAATACGAATAAAGAAAAAAAAACTAAATCTATACACGTGTCTAATATAAACGGAGCAGGATAGCAAAAATAAATTTATTTTTTATTTATATCTCTTAATTAAATAAATAAAAATAAATAAAAAGGATATGTAAAGAAGGATGTACAATGTACGTGTGTGATTTTAGGGATGTCTAATTATAAAAGACATCGCTTTAATATCTTTCATTTTAGAACTGTGAAAGGAATAGTTCGGAGCTGATTTAGACGTTCTATAGGATCTGTCTTTAAAATTAATTACAATAGTATCTGACTTTTTTTTTGTTTGAATGACAGGATGATGGACCTTAGATAATGGGCCTTAATATTGTAAATAGGACAATGCGGTGCGTGAGTATTGATTGAAGCAAGTATTTATCAATGTCGATGTTCTGGCCGCGTAGACGATAGCATTATACATAATTCAAATCTCCGTGACCTCGATATTCCGCTATTGAATTTTTTCGTACAGTCGAAGTAACACGCCGGCGTTCTCGTATCGAAACTCAGCTGCATACTCGACGTTTCTTGCGCAAGCAGTCGTTTACCTTGCAACTCGAGTACACTGGGTGTACGTTTGATCGATAAATTATGATCGCACGACCAACGTTTTGTTCAGTCGAAAGGAAAAAAAACCGAATGGAAAAAATGGGGAAACAGAATAAATATCCTGGAATGGATCTAAGAATCACAGAGAATCGTGGAGATTCGATTCGATACGGGAGAAACAAAAATCGGAGGACGCGAAGGTTGAACAGCGGGAGACTCGACGTACGCTTGATTGAAGCCGGAACAAAAAAGAAATTCATCCTGCGATCGAAGGAGAAGGTCTCAGAAGATCGAGAGACCGTCTTGATCTCGCAGGAAACTTCAAGTCACAAGCCTTTCCTTCGCATTACGGATTGTGCACGCTATCCCATGTATTTGCAGAACGCACGTTGTATCGCGACCATTTCTGTTTGCTGTGCGATAAAAAGCGCGATAGACATGAAACGCTTTCATTATATGAGCTGGGCAAAATATGCAGCGATCCTTTTTGCAACTTTCAATATTTTTTAATTGTTTCCTCGATGCGCGGTCTTAAAATCACGTCCAATAAAAAAATAATCTTTATGGAGCAGACCGAGCAGACGCATTCTTTAAAACTGATTTTTTTCTAGTCTTTGTAGATATAATTTTCAGAAGATGAGAATAACTGCGATTGTGGAGAATAATTGTCCATAAATCAGAAATAAATCATGCTGTTCTATAGAATCGTGATAATACGAGCTGGCGATAACTACCTCCGCGGTAATTCTCAGTTCACACGCAAGGTGCTTTAATTAAAATTCCATTTGCTTGTTCAGTTTAATAGGAAGTTTTCACTTGCCCAGGTGCTCCTAGATTATCAGGTGGTATCTGTCTATTCTTGTCTTTCTTATAATTCCGGACATACGACATAATTTAATTTCAACACTGAGCAAGCATTACGTAATAATAAAAAATAATTACATACGTTTAATAAAACATTATGGTAAAACATTTTTACAAAAATTTTTCCGAGTTTTTATATAAGTAATATAATTTTTTTAGAAAATTTCTTAAAACCAAAATGCATTTCCATTAAAAGAAAAATTTAAGTCAGTAATGATTTATTCCTGTAAACTATCGCTACAATATTTACAGATTATTTTGATAATAATTACATACATGTTAGAATCAAATAATTAACAATTACAATTTATATTTTATTTATTTGCGGTTTGTTCTGTACAAATCAGTATAGAGAAATATATTGTAAAATATTTAATATGTATCCTCTAAAACAAATAAACTTTTTTTAGTAATTAGGGTATAATCAAGATTGACAAACAATTTTATCAAAAACTTAACTACATTCGACTAAAACTCTCTTCCCGCGATCATTGGTTGCGATCAAGAACGACTTTTATCAACGACTGAGAATCACTGTAGTTTCTCACCGATACCGCTGATGTGTCATTGGTAAATACATATGTACCTGTAACTTGCGTGTTATCAGCGTTTAACACGCAGCTCGCTCACAATCGGGTCTTCGCTCGCGTGAGAGGAGAGCCCGCGGAGGCTCCGTCTCTCTGCTCTCGCCAGTTTACGCGGCCAGTTCTCTCGTCCATTCTCTCTCTCCTCATTATTCCCTACCCTCGTCTCGCTCTTTCTCGCATTCCTAGTCCCCCCCAGCATTCTCTCTTTCTCGTACTCTACGTACATTATACGAACAACTCTTCGTCAGTCAGTACAGAGACATCGTTGCCGGCGCCTCGTCCATCTCACTCCCTCCTTCTCTTCTTCTTTCCTCTTTCTTTCTCTCTCTCTTCTTCCCCCGTCCTTTCAACCATCACCCTCCCTTTAATTTCGTTTAGTTTTTCTTTCCTCGTTAACCATGCCGTGTTATCATCTCCTCCAGAACCAGCGCTTGTTTCGGAGTTTTATTTAAACGTTCTTATCCGCGCGCGTTTGCGCTTCGTTTAAAGTCCTTCTTTATCCGTCTTGGTGTGCAAAGAAGAAAATGCCGCGAAAAATCGCGCTCCATTTGTTAACGGTGCGACAGTGGCAGTGACAGTGTGCTCGTGTCCGAGGTGTGACAACGATAAGAGCCCCTTCTCTCTACTTTTGTGATAAGGTGTTAATCCATCGCGTACCAGGAATACGCAAACCGGCGTCCTCGGTTTCTTCCGGCGAGTCGCGTGTTTTTCGTTAAATGCGCTTGGAAGAGCATAAAAACAACTCGGTAGCTCGTTTCTTTTTTTTTCAGCGACAATTGCGTTCGCAAAAGTTGCAACGCCTGCTTTCTTTCGTGAAGTCATCTTTTATTCTCGTTCCCTGTTTCTCGTTACATCGCCGATTTGATTTTCAAATAAATCCCAAAAGATGCGACGTGCGACACAACATAAATATGTAAATATCGTCACCTTTTCCGCAATCCTTTCGCCGTGACTTCGCTTTCCGCGATGTGTGCGTGAGTAGCTCCTGCAACAAACAGTTGGGTTGCAAGCGGACGAAGAGCTTGTAAGTTTACATTTTGCAACTTGTAAATCATGACTTACACTGTGTGTAAGTCGTGTTTATTTTTATCTCGTTCCTGCTTCGTGCATTCGCACCCAAGTGTGTCAATAACGGTCTCACGAAGGTACTGCTCGGTGGAAATAATCGAGACTGAAAATGAAAGCGTTGACAACATCCCGAGGATTATCGCGTCGAGTAATTAATGCTCAGGCAGAATCACAGATCGGCGTGACGATATCGTGACGGTGATGATTAAATTTAGGAATGATCGATGTAATCGCGAATGATGCCGTGCACGACGACGCGACGCCGTACACGATCGCGAGCATCGTTCATTATCATATTAGCGAGAATTGAACAGTGCTCGTTAATCTGTTAAACGTTCACTGACAGCTTTACATCCACCGTGCGATCGAAATCAGGGCTCTCATGAAATTAATCTGTTTCTTGTTTATTTCGCCGGAGTCGATTTGGTCGCCAAATATAATGTTCGTTACAATGCGAGTATTAACGTTTATGCAGTTTAGCTTCTCCGATATCAGTTACAAATTACAATAGTATCTATATTAGCTACATAGTTGTGTTAACATTTTCATTATGTGAAATCTAATTTTATAAAAATGTAAAATTTTAGATAAGATCCAGCCTTAATAACTGCCTGATGCTAATTATTCCATTATGCATTGTTGAACTTTCAAAATAACGATTATATAATTTGACAATCACGAAACCGTTACGTTAATTGGCTTCCTTATCTTGTTATTGATTAGCTGGATTGAATTGAAATTATGGCAAAGATCGATTCGACTTATCTTAATCTTATTATAGTAATTGCTTCTAGAAATATTGCTGTGACCGTATAATATTTTCGTTGTTGCATATTCATAGTTATAGGATATAATTTATATTCATAGAATATCACGCGACATAGTTGAATTTATCGTCGTAGAAACTTGGAGGTTGTTTGCCTGTTCAAAGGAACCGACGTGCTCTTGATGGTTATCTTCAGACAACCACTCTTTACGTTACTATGCATTGCATACTCGCGCATTTGCGCTTGTTACATATTATCTGCATGCGAATCGAGACGTGCGATATATCGTTGAACGGGTGAGAAGAAAAGGAAAAAGGGTATGAAATTTCCGCGAACTCTTTGGCGCTGGGAATTATTAAACGCCACATAGAAAACGTATACGCTGCAGTCGCTATCGGGATGCACTTAACCACTTAACGCGGAAAGAAGCAAACCGGTTTGTGATGCGCCTTTTTATCGAAAATCGCATATCGCCGGTATTTATACACCGGTTTCCGTTGGGGATTGATGAACGAACAATTAATACATAATTAGACTCGGATAGACGCCGATACGTAGACCTCGTTTTGTTTGTATAAAATGTGCCGACACACATCGGCGATGAAATCGCGCGCTCGTCTCGCGCTATCAGATAATATCATGCTCCGCACATTCGTTCCTGGAAATACGACTGCAGAATTGTGGTTTTCATAAATACAAATATGAACAATACTCGACTTGTGAATAGGCTGGCATAGAAAATGTTTGGCACAAAGACTGATATTTTTTTGTAATTCTAGCCAAAACAGTATGTTTCTCATCGAGGGAAATACATATTGAATGATGACTTTTGATCATTTGAGGTAGTATTATATTTTCTAATTGAGAGAGAGAGAGAGATTTCTGTTGTATTAAATATATGTGCATGATTTTGCGCATGGTGTGTCAGGAGAATTTATATTTTTTAACGACACAGAGAAATACGAGGGGTCAAACACTATCTTTCCTCGAATCTGACAAGTGTCTTTTTCTCTCCTTACGTATATCTGCATGCTATCTCGTCGGGTTAGTGCATTCCGCCATCGTATGCAAGCTGCGAGTCTCGATTTTTCCAGTCAAGAGACCGGATCGTACTTCAAACACGTGCAAACTAACTTATGACCTTTGCATTATCCATCGTTTTGCCGATTTAATCTAACGCGTGAGAAGGGAATCGTTATTGTATCATACCGTATATCGGCGCGAAACGGAGCATCCAATAACGGAATTGGCTCTTTTAACCTAGAAACACACCAATTTTAATGAAACGTAAAATACAATGCTGGAAAAAATCAACTTTTAAGCATTTTGGAAAATAAGGTCTTCGATTTATGAAGATAAGATCAATTTTTGTAATATCTGTTTTCTAGAGCATACTGCTGGTAAATATATTTTATCCAGAATTGTTTTGGAACAAAAAGAATATTAATAAACCACGTAAGAAAACTTTAAGAATAGAGTTTCTTCTCAAAATTGAAGAGACTAATTTCTGTTTCTTCTTATTGCGTTTGTTTGACATATTTCCATGCAGAGTTTTCGATATCTTATCGGAAAATTGTCCCATTAGATTTGTCTGCGCATGCGAAAAGAATTGATATACGTCTAACATATGTTAGAATCAATATTCGGGGACGATCACACTGTTATAAGTATGAGAAATGTATCTTTGAATACGCACACATTGGTATATCGAGTTCGCACTCCAAAGGGCCACTTCCGAATCGTCCACTTGGGATGCTATCTAATGACGATAATTAGATAATGAGTACCGCGATAATTAAGCAAGAGTGGCGGTACGCTGGCCGAACAAAGCGCGTTTGTCAATTACCGGCTTTGTTCTTCAGTTCCGTTTATTTCTGTGTCCCGACCGACTTGTCACGTCTCGCCAGCTCGCCGTTCAAGTTCTCTGGCTGATGATCGTGAAACGCGGATAAAAGATGATGGCGTTTCCGCGTTATTACCGCGTTATTCTCGCATACACTTCTTGCCGCCGTTATCTGCTAATCTACCGTCTTCAGCCTTTTTGCATTCATCGTACAGTCATTATACCGCGAAGCTAGTTACGTCGGCAGATATAAATTAATCCGGCAATAGGTATAATAGCGGACGTTCCGAAGTTCCTTGAACTTTTTTCCTAAACATTTTCATTTGTTCTTGTTTTAATTACGACGCAGTACAGGCCTTTAGTAAAATTAAATAAAAATATAAAAACCGAATTAACAAATATTTTGTAGAAAATATCGTGAGTCAAGTTCGTAAATATTTATTCGAAACGAGTTCAAGTTATCGTAATACCGTTGTTTCATTATTAACGCATGTTGTAACGTATTTCAAGCGTGCATTGTATCGTTATTATGTAACGCTATTATGTTTCGCTCGCTACTTGTTTTTATCGTAAAAAGCACACATATATAGTATGTTGCTATTTTTGTTAAATGAAATGTCGTGTAGTTGGTCTAGGTAAAAAGAACCTTGTCATCACGTGAGCGTATTCTTGCAATTGCGACATAATTGTGCATACGTCGCGTCACGCTAGCAAGTTATTTACGTAATCGGCGGCGATAGCAAGCAGATATTTTGCGAAACGATCATACCGTAAGTTAACACCGGTGTATTGGTTTCACCTGTGAATATTACGTTTCTTTCGCTTTCGTCTCGCTCTTTCGCGTCACCACGCATCGCGTTCGCGAGTAATACGAATAATACTCGAATCCTGGCCAGTCGATTGTAAACGCCTTCCGGGAAACGTCGGTGCGCGACCGCGCCGTTGCGCGGCTAACAATGTTAAGTTTTATTTGCGCGCAGCCTCGGACCGGAACGTGCCGATGAACGGTGCACTCACTCGGAGTGTCACGCGTTGCATCGGAATTAGATGCACTTGAAGGTGCGCCATGATAATCATTAAATCGCTTTTTCTTTAATCTTTCGTCCTTTTTTTATTTTCTCTTCTCCGGGCGTAAAGATTTTAAGCATGGAAAGCGAATTATTGGAACAGAACGAATACTAAGGGGATTGTTTCATTAATTCCGTAACCGTTGTGAGCTACTAGATCTCTGGGTCAATACGTGAGAGTTTACGTACATGTAATAGACATTCAATAGTCGCACGAGAAGGTAATCGCGTTCGTCAGTTGTTTGTGGATTTATGCAATATTAAACGTATTGATGCCAGATTAATGACGAGCGCCTCCCTTCTTCTGGCAAACGGGAGTGTAACGTGGCAAAAAGTAGTTCATTTTGGATATTGCAGTTAGTTTCTGGGTTAACGCGCCATTAAATAAATATCACGTGGCACATTGCAGACTGCGCAATCGGCTGGAGTTATTACAATCGCAAAATTAGGCAAAGGGATTCAGTACGTGCCTCTCTCGTCGACCTTTTACTTTTCCCCTCTTGCGCGATGAAAGTATTCCGTCACTTAATTCTTTTCTGAGCGAAATGGATCTTTTTGTATCTTTTTTTTTGTATTCGTATATATGTTTATCTTTCTTAGATGTACGAGAAGTTTTACTTCAGTTTTTTTCCATTTATCTCTGACGTTACCTTTTAATAAGTAATTCGTTTTTCTTTTGCTAACATCTTTTCTTACTTCTAGTTTAATAATATGTTATATTTACAAGATAACCTGCTCTGATATGTATTATACACCCAAATTAATAATGTCTTCGGAAAGCTTCTGCCCTACGACCGTGAATAAACGTATTTCCACTTCTGTCCCTTTCGACGTGTGTATCCTTGACGCTTACGTCACGATCCGGAGAGGGGAAATACGGGCGGAAGTGAGCACAACGGTATCACGGGGAAAAAGGGATTCGAAGTTGTGCGCGGTTGTGTATTCTCGTTTTAGACGCTTTGTAAGTTCCCGAACGAATTCGTTACGGTCGTTGCACTTTGCGACTCTACGCCGCGGCCGCCGCGATATCCTTCGAGAGACAGAGAAAGAGAGAGACGTTGACCGCGCAAACGAAGGCTACGGACCGAGGAGATTTTCCGCTTCGATGTTTAGAATATACGCGTATTTAGACTACACTCAGTTCGTTGGTGCACTCGCACAAATCTGGGAGCACTGGCACGTGCTCGTGAGTCTATACACGAGCGGCTGGTGCGCACATGGTCGCGTACGTGCACCACACGTACTTGACCGGGTCAAACATCGACGCGGCAGCCCGCAGCCACGATGGACTAATGGGAAAATTTCGAACGACCACGCAGACACTTATCTAGTTATCTCGAGTCCCCCTGTGCCCTCTCGACGCCTGTATCTCTGTATACATCGGAGCGTCTGGAATTGTTCATCGAATATAAAAGATAATATAAAAGATAATGGCATTAAACGAGGCGTCCCACTTGTATTCGATATCTTTTAATGGCAGATTCTTTGATTTAAATTTGACCTTTTTGTAACGAAAACTTCACGGTGATTATTATTTGTTGTACAGTTATGTAATGATATATGCAATATGTGTAAGAACTTTTTAGACCGAGATGATAAATTACCGTAGATAGCTAATATGTTTTAAATAAAAAAATAACCGATTGTGAGAGCTTATCTCGATACTTATTCGATACTTTTCCCATATATTTTGCTTTGATTTTATATAGATAAAAGGTTTCTTTTATCTCAATCTTATGTTCATGAATTTTTAGCATTTTTCATCTTACTTTTTGATCATACTTTTAAATTTGTTTTTATCATGTTGTAAAATATATCTTTTGGACGTGTCGAGAAGATCACAATGAAATTCTTTCAGGCGTCCTTGAAAGAAGAACGGCGCTCAATAAACCAGCATGGAGCCGAAGGAAGGAGTCTTCGGTAGCAATATCTCGAAAACGGATGTACGGCCTAATCGAGACTCATTTAAGGGTGACGTGGAAGAAGCGAATGCAGGAAACGTGCGAGTTCTGTCTGTCGATAAAGTTACTGTTGAAAAAATCGTCCTCGAATCGTCGAATGGATCGCGAGAAGTATTGCTGACGAAGAACGAGACTTCGAGGAAACTGTCTCTGAGTTCGGAAACGACGTCAAATGTTGTCAAATGTGTGAAAGACGAGCGGCAGAAATCGGCGAGTAACGAGAGATTTCGAGTCTCGTTACAGGAAGACGCGTTCACGTCAAAGTCAAAAGATACTGGTTTTAAGACCGTCCAATCGAAACTTCCTATTCCGAAGAGCCGGAAGAGCAACGGTATTTCAAGTGTTTCAGGCGAAGAGACTAGGATCAAGCCGATTAAGTTTGCTAAAAGTCCATCGATCAATAGCATCGTGATCGAAGGCTTGAATTCGACGAATGCAATTGTCAAGAAGAATACGGCGCCACCGAAGGTCCCGGAGAGATCTGCAACTAAAAATGAGCACGATTCATCTTTGATAGCGACTTCGGTCTCTTTCACGAAGGCAGAATCTTCAGAAGATTTATCGTCGAAAAGGGAAAAAGTTGTTGACAAGGTAGTGGCTGAGGTTAACCAAGAGCAAGAACTTTTCGAGACGAAAGACGTTGCGGATGATAAAAAAGGTGACGGCGGTATAAGCTCCGCCGAAATCGATAAACACAATGAGACGTTTGAGGCGACGGACGTGAACTGCAAACGTGAATCAGACGAGATTAAAAAGCAGGACGACGTTGATAGTCGCGGAGTTGACAGAGACGTGCGGGATCGCTTGGAGAAGAGTCAGGCGACTATCGACGATCTTCAAAAGAATCTGAGCACCAAGATTCACGCCAGCACCGCGCAAAGCTACAAAGAGAAACTGTTGGGCCTTCAGGCGAATTACGCTCTGAAGCCGCCGGTTATTGCGGATTCGAACTGCAGCGAGAGATTAAGTCCCAGATTCGACAAGGATTTTCTCGAGAGGCACAATCTGGATAAACGGCTGAAGATCGAGGAGAAGAGGCTGCTGGAAACCGATCTCGATTACACGTCCGACAACGACAGAGCCAGCGAGACCGACGAACGATCGTCGAGTAAGGTCGACGTCAAACGAAAATACAGCGAGAAAGTGACGGAGGTGGAGAAACGGTGGTCCGGGGAATATCTGGATAATCGCTTGCAACGGAATTCCTCGGAATCTTCGAAGTCGTCTTACGTCGAGGAATTCGGCAGCGTGTCTTCGCGCGAGAGTATCGTCGAGGATCGCGACGCTCGGTTGCTTTTTGACCGGAAGCATCCGGAAGCGAAGTTCACAGAGAGGCGAACATCGATCGACGAGTCGAAGAAACGAACTTCGGAGGAGATTCTTGAGAACAGTACCGTGAGCACTGTCGACTCCGATTCGTGTCTGGAGGATAGAATCAAGGCAGTCGATGAGGACATCGCCCAGGTGGCGAATCGAGAAGACGAAATACAGACGGATGATAATGACGATATCGATGAATCTGATCGAGCTTACGGCGACGAGGAAGATAAGGATTGCGTTCGAAATAAACAAGTAGAGAGAGATACAAAAAAAATTGTCACAACAACGGCGATAGTTCACGAAGATCTAAGCTTAAGAGAAGAAAATATTAAAAGTGACGCAATTAACGTTACTAGCGATTCAAACTCGAACGAAGTAAAGAATAATTGTAAAAAGGATATCGAGGAAGCAAAAAATGAGATACTTCTTGCCGATAGAAAGAATCTTTTAACTGAAAAGAAGAACGACAAAATTTCCAATTCTTTTACAGTTAATTCGAAAGAATCCATTGATCCGACTTTCGTTCGGAATCACAGCGGCAAAGACGGTTACGCAAATCTTATAAAGGAATTCACGATGGAGGCGGGATCGTCTAAGGTGAAGAAGGAAGAAAAGCAGAAGAAAAAGCTCGGCTTTCGGCGTCTATTACCGGCTATTTTCTCCCCGAAGGATTCTCGAAAGGATTACAAGAAGAAGGAGCAGAAGGAGCGAAGGAGGTACGAAGAGCGACATTTTACTCGTTATCAGCAAAATGGAAATTACACGAGGTCGCCGGACACGATGAACCTGAACGAGGACATCAAGAGAAATGTCAAACTGGACAACAGTCTGAACGGTTCCATCATCGAGGAGAGATTGGACGAGATCAAGCGCGAATTGTTTCCCGAGCAGGGACCAATTACCAGTACACCCGATCACTTCCTTCAAACGGACGACACGCGACTTCTTCGCGAGAGAACTCGAGGTCAAAGGACGTACACCGCTGACTCCAGTCTCAGCTCGATCGCGCCGGACGAGAAATGGTTGGAGCGAAGCGGACAGTTCGGTATCTCGGCCGATATCGAGCAGAATACCGCTCGATACCGGAAGTACGAGCAGAAGCAGAGACGCGAGGAGCAGGACATCCGGCGATACGGCCATCTGGAGCGCAAGCACAGTCTGCAAGAGCCGAGTCACGGCGCGCGTACTTACATTTTCCAGAGAAATCACGGTGCCTCCGGTCGAATCTCGGCGCCGCCCGGAGAACGGTATTTACGGTCACGAGTTATTCATCCCGTCGACAGGCCGCTACCTGAAATCCCACAGTCGCGAATCGAGCTGTCGAACTACGAAAATTACCAGGACGGCGTTGATCAGCTGTGCGACAATCTCAGCGGGTTTGACGTTGCTGACAACGTGGATTACCGTAGTCAGTCCGGGTTTTACCAGAATGACAGGAGCCTCGAGGTAGGTCTGATCCACAGTCCGCCGCAGTCGGTCGCTGCGCAAGTTAAAATCACTCGACAACCGATCGTGAATCAAAATCAGAGAGCGCCATTGATTGGGAGAAGCACGAAGTATCCGTCGTCCGGTTCTAGCCAAAAGTCCGGCGATTATGCCGACTCGAGTTGTACACCTAACTCGAGTCAGAAGAGCGAGTTCTCGCCCACTAGCTCGAAGAGCGGCGAGTACTATTTGAACTCGCCTCGTAGCAGCGCTCGAACTTCGCCTGCCGACCGGCCGCTCTTCGAAGATGCGCGTGAAGGGATTTACGAGAACCAAGGTCAAACCACGACTTCACAGTCTTCCGATAACTACATCGAGGAACACGTCTACGATGAAACTCCGTCGTCACCGTGTCGCGAGGAACATTTTACGAGCACGGAAGCATCGGAATGTACAGCGGAGAATTCGCCGGAGAAGACAGACGATTTGGTCTTCGAACAGAAATGTTTATCGAATCAACAATCGCCCTCGAAGAATTGTTCTTTTCAGTATTGCGAAGATAATGAAAATGCTCGAACGGAGTCGAAACGTGAAGTCGAAAAATCGCGTGAAGATTGTTTAAAGAGTCACGAGAACGCTGACACAAATTTGAAGAATGACTCATTAGCGTGCAATCAAGCTGAGAGATTATCCATTCAGAGCGTATCACTATCGAAACCTGGGTCGACAATAGCGATGTCCCCGTCGATGGGATCTCGAGCTCGGAGATCACAGCCCGACGATCAAATCTTGATAGCTTCGCCCAAGCGAGAAGTCATCTGCCAGTCACGAGTTTCTCGGCCATTGAACGAGGCCAGGCTCTGTGACGCGGAATCGCCCGTTCCTATAGCGGATTCGCGCAACGGTATCTCTGGCATTGTTCCAATTGAAGCGCGAAATCAGTACGGCGGCCAGAATTCTTCCCCCACGGGAAGATCTATGAGACAAATGAGTACATTGTCCTCCTTCTCGAAGGGTATCTCGCGTCCCGAGCCGATTTACGGACATCGCGGACAGCCGAGTCCATCTCGCAGTAACGCGGTAACTTTGGAGATGAGAGAAGGCGGACGCGAGAACGATCAGTTGCTGCCACCCGATTCGTACGGTTCGACCAAGCCGTGCCGCGACATCGACGAGAGAATAGCTCGGGTTCAAGGTCGGAATTCGACATCGCAAAGTCCACAGTCGTGCGTCTCGGAGACCAAACAAATGGTTAACGAGCCGGCGAGAGGAGTAGCACGGTCCCCGATACGCGAACCGGCTCGAGATATTTGTCAACAACGGCGACTCGATGCCGCTCAGCAACAGCGAACTCCGTTCACGGCGACCGCGTCGTCGTTGGAGGCTCCTCAGTCGTCGCCGACTGCGAGTCAGGACAAGATGTACATAAGCGCGAGTTCGCTTCAGCGAGAGCCGATTTACGAGCAACGCCAACGGCAGTATCCACCACAGCAGCCACCGCGACAAGTTCAAGAGTTGTACGTTCAACGAGTCGCCGACACGACGTGCGGTCAGCAAAGTCATCCGACTTGCGGACTATTATCGCCCTCGAAGAAAGAGACCAGGCAGCATTTGGAGGCATTTTATTGGCAGCAAAAGGCGCTGGAGGCGCATCGGAAGTCGGCCATCCCGTCGGCCACCCCATCGGCGAGCCCCGGTCCGAGGCAAATCGCGCCGAAGATCGATTTGCCAGAAATGAGAGAGGCGGTGTATTGGCAGCAGTTGAAGAGATTGGACGAGGAGCAGCAACGGCGGATCTACGAGCAGAATATGATGGAGGACGGGCTGTGCGAAACGTATCACAAGACGAGAACGGGAAGCCCCGCGATGCAGACCGCGTCACCAAATCAAGCATTCAATTTCAACATGACGGCGCTCGGCCCTGTTACTCACGGGGACGGATCTTACTGGAGTAACGTGCAGCAACGTCTCAAGATGAGTCCGACCGGAAAACCGCCGTTAATGCAAGCTCAAAAGGGCCAGAATCAACCGGTACTGATAGTTAGGCCGCAGCAGGCGCTGCGAGATCGTCAGGAGATGTCGATAAAGTCTATAAACCCGCGTGATCCCGCGGTATACGACGCGCAGAGATCGAAGAGCGCTTCCCCGCATTTCCACAGAGGCGACATCGAGCGCACCAGTCTTCACGTGACGTGCAGAAAACCTGTCGCGGATAGAAGAACCGGCACGGCATCCCCGGCGAGGAGACCGGAAGTCGGCGGAGTTTACGAGGAAGACGGTAACGACAGCGAGGGCAGACCTCGACCACATCCTATATTTAAGAGAGGAAGCCTGATAGGAGGCGACTCGATAGACCAGTACGGAAGTACTGGTCCCAAGAGAGTCAGTTTCTCTAATCAGCCGAACGCCGGGCCGGATTTAGCGGCTGGCAACTGGCCGACCAAACGTGGAACGGCACCCGAGCCGCCCACCAGGCGACACAAAAGCGAGGACAGCGCCTCGGATACCGACTCGGTGTTTTTGCATCAAGATCGACACGACGGAACTCAGGACGCTTCCTACGTCACCCGCAACGCGGGCCCGTCTTCGAGGTGTCGCTCGGACGGCAGCTGCTCGGAGCAGGAGTACGACGCTAACAAACCTCTGCCTCCTCTGCCTAAGGACTCCTTGATAATCACCCGCCGTGGAAACAGTGCCAGGAATTACGTCTGCAACGACGCCCGATGGAACAACGAGGAGCAACGCGGCAGCCGGCGAAAGCGGGGTGGTGAGTCTTGATTTATTTTATTTTTACTAAAAATGCTAGATCAATCTACGTTTGACACTCTAAAATTTATTACGAACGATATTTTAGAAAAGAATTGTTAACATTTTATGCGAATCGCTTTTCTCTCGTGAGATATAAATAATGTTGAAGTTTAAAAAAAAATCTAGAATAAAAGTCACAAATAAATTACTCCAATTTAAAAGAACAATTTTTAAAGTATCAGTAACTCGTATTGTGTGAGAACTCAGTCGCGAAGTCGTCGATATGAGAGAAAGATCGTTTTGCATTTATCGTGCTGCTGAATCGGCGGGAAGTCGCGAGAATAAGCGCTCGGATGCTTTTTCATCAAATAATCCCGGGCGAGGGTGCGCTTCGCAGCTCGTAATTCGGTAGACGATATGCACGAACCGCACGACACGACTGCGTATGACCGTGCATTCGAATGAGCCTCTTAAGACGCGGAGACGTGTGCATCGCGTTGCGGCACGTTCGCGTTAACGAGGGGGAGCGAGAGAAACGTTGTTCCTCTCACTATACTTCTTCGAATCCGCAGACAGTGGGGCACTAAGACGTGCGGGTCTTACGTGGATTTGCCGTTTTCCGTGGGACCACTGCGGAATCTCTCTTTCGCATATATATGTAGATGTACAAGATACCGAATTTTGGTCTCGCGTTTACCTAAATTCCTTCTTCCGCTTGCTTATTCGCTTATTTAGCCAATCTCTCGCTAAGTCGTTTGAAGCTGTAAAAGCAGCGCGCGGTAAACCAAAGATGACATTATCGGCTGACTGAATTTTAAGATTAACCGCGACTTGCTTTGTCACTTGAAAAGAGAGAGTTCACGAACCTTCGTGACTACGCAAATGCGCTTTTGGTCTCTAACACTTCCTTTATTCGATGAAGTTACAAAGTCGCCCTTCAAAGGCCGCATTTTAATGTATCCTAGTGCTATTACCTTCTAGTTCCTTCTCGTTTCTTGTTTGAAAGCTTATTTACATTTGTTTTTGTTTAAGAACACCGAAAACAATATATTAAATTGATGCTGTTCAAAGAATTTATTGCGTATAGTTGTTCTGATCTTCAATTAAATTTTTTAAAGAGCGCAAAATTGGATATTATAATAAATATAAATATATATATCCGTATTTATTATATATTTCTTAAAAAATTGTTTGATTTTATTAAAAAGCAATCTAGCTTACTGTCTTGGGGCTAAAATAAAGCAAAGTATAAAAATAAGCAGGCTAATATATATAAAAATATAAAAATAAAAAGCAATTTAAAAATACAAAAAAGCAGAAGTTATTATTCTGTTGTTACTAGATCGATACATTCTTTTGATATATAGTTTACAGTCCCCTTTTAATTTTTATTTGGAAAGAGATGGTGCACGTTAATGTTTGACGTATTTTCAAACATTTAATAGAATATAAGAGCCATATATTACCTCAGATTATTAAGTAGGTAGAATGACGGCCCTCCGGGCCGTAAAGATCTTTCCGCACGGCGAACAGAGTAATTAATCGCTCGTTTAGACTGCGGTAAATAAGGTCACTGACATTGCATCCCGGTAAACTGTTCGACCGATGCGTAAGACGTCGCTTCATCAACCAATGCACTTTTGTACTCCCACGCTCTTCCGGTCGTGCGATGCATCGAATCGCCTACACGGAAGAGAGCTTCGCGCAAAGCACGTTGTTGATAATAATGTTGCGTTACACGAGACGTTACAATTAACGTTGAAATAAATTACAAGTTTACCATATACGCGTTGTGCGCAAAGCAGCCATTTTTTTTAATTGTAGTTTTTACAGTACTAATTTCTTCGTGTGATTGAGTTGCTCGTGACTATTTAAAACTTGATAAATACAAAATGTAATGTAGGTACTACATGTACGGCTAACCTTTTTGTGCCCTCTTAATCGGTTAATTGAATAACCTGTTTGTGAAAAGTTGTCTGATAAATTTTAAAATAGCCATTGTTGTCTCTGGAGTACCTTTTACTTTGTAAATGAGGGCACCGAGGAAGAAAAATAGCTGCGTAAGAAAACAAAACGTTGCAAGGTATGAGGCTCAGTCTCTATTTGTTTCAACTCCGACCTCATCTTCACGGTCATTCATGTAAAATCCACGACGTTGCCTTGCTGCATTGCATTAGAATTTTATAGCTCCGAGAGTACACTTACAGAAAGTGTGCGCGGCTCCGGATATGTCACAGAAAGTCTTGTTGCCCCGACAAAGATGTCCTCTTTGATTCTCGGCAGAGTTGAACGAGCTGAATTGCATCGCATTTAGGACTTACTGACTAAACTAGCTTGGCTGTTGAAAATACGTAATATATAATAATAATGCAACGTAGAATAAAATAATAAGTTTCACTTGCATTTGAACATTCACATCTTAAATTGATGTATATACGCGATATATCAAAAGTATAAGCAAGATAAGTTATTATTACATTTTATTATTTTTTTCTGCTTATTTTTTGAGCTATCATAGGTTATTACTTTTATGCAAAGTATACACGGAAAAAATAATGTATCAACAACATTAGTCTAATTGGAAATAATCTTGTTAACTCAATATGTGTGTCATGCTTTTATTTTAATAAAACAAGTATTTTGCTTCATTAATACTATTGAATTAACAAGATCATTTTCAATTAGAGATATAATGCTGTTAATAAATTCTTTTTTATGTAGGTATTATACTGAATATTTGTATCGTGTCACGTACACACATTTTTACGATTGTGCTACTTTAGATTGGCGGGAGTAAATATAAAATTTCTGTATTGATATATAAAGACTGCTAACTGTATTTCATATAGGTTGAGCGAGTTCAATGCTCTTTTCGTCACCATCAAATGATAGGCAAAGATCGAGAATGATGATCGAGTTCTTTTAGCATTTCTTTTCGGTCGAAGGAGCGCGCGTGAGATTTTCTCTTTCCCTTTATTCTCAGTCCGCACCGACGTCGGTTTCACTGGGTCTCCTCTCCGAGACGAAGCGGTGAAAAATCGGGGATCAAAAGACGACGGGCGAGGACATTATCCTTCCTTTAATGCCACTTGAACGCCGAACTGGCACACAAACGATTCCCGAGGACAAAAGAATTCCTGATGGGGAAATAGAATAGTAGTTTGCCGAATTTCCCCGCGCGCGTTGCACGGCGCAATATCTATGCAGATTAACCGACCCGCAGATGCAGATTTGAATGTTCGATGTTTGGAATTGAGAGTCATGCCAACGCATCCCGGCCTCATAACGAAGGCAAAACAACGATCCGGCTATCTGGCGTAGTGGTACTAGTTTTATCCTCATTAATTACGTCGTTATCCAGGCTTGCGATAGATAATTGATCACGTACGTATATCCAGGCTTGCGATAGATAATTGATCTTCCTGGTTAATCCTTGCACAATATTTTCTATTAGTCATCGGATGGACGACATACATGCCGACATATTGTCACGGGAGTATATTTGAGAAGATATATATTGACATATAAAATCGACATATTTCCCAAAAGAAGAGACAATTATTATTTTAAACTGTTTGATTTTTTCTTGAGTTATTGACATATTTTGCAGACTAACGCGAAAATTCACATTTGAACTGTGAGAACATTTCAGTGAATTTGACAGTTAGATGTCACTATAAAACCTGATGTAGATATTGATTTAATTAGTACAGCTTTGATTTTAGAAGCAGATAATAACGAGTACATTTTTTAAAAATAGTTCTTTAAATAAATGTATGCAATATGAATATTTTTGTTGTAATTAAATGTTTAGTATTCATACATGCGTAAACGATATTGTTAATTACAGTGTAATTTTCTTTTTTTTACGGATGGATGTGTCGATTTGAATAATAGAAAAATTGCGAACTTTATTTGTGAGAAAGGCACTGTTTTACGTAGCACAGTTATTTGTTACCTATACGTCAGTGTACATTTTTTTATGTAACAGTATATCGTAAAAAAAAGCTTCTCTTGTCCCTAGAAAAAATTTACAAACATACAAACAAACGTTGCAAACGCACGAGGATAAAAAAATGCAATCTCATGCAGTTGTCAGTAAAAAAAAATATCACGCGTTCAAATATCTGATAAGTAACAATAAGGATAATAAAAAAAACACACTTCTCTTCAGATAGAAAGTTTAACAATATTTATTTATTCATCAGGAATTAAAAATTATCGGAGTTCAAGCGCAAAAATGTCTTCTACGAAACTTGTCTTTTGACAGGACACGTTTCCTCCCTCTGTTCATCCTTGTTCTATTTTCCCGCGCACCGCTTCATCCCTTGGCGGAATCGCGCTGCAACCGCGGCGAGATCGCCGGTGCACTCCATCCGGCGAGAAATTACGCCCTTCCGCGCTTTTCCGCCCTGCATGGTGCGTGTCACTGGCTGCGTACATGCATCCGGGGGGTCGCTGGAGGTTGTCGAGGGAATGGCCGAATGTTTTCTATCCGGTCAGTACCGTTCGCGAGAGAGAGGATGCGAGCCTAGAGGTGGGCGTTCGGGATCGATCCCCGACCCCGACTCCATTCCCGTGACGTCACCCGAAGGGAAGATAGAAGGAGAGAGGAAGACGCCGGGAAGGATCGCAAGTAGGAGGGACGGGGGATGGTATAGCCGGGACTTTCCGGGCGTCCCAGCACTCCCAGCGACGTATCGTTCTCCTCTCTGATGGTGCTGCCACTGCTGTTGCTGCTGCGGCTGCTGCAGGTGCACCGACGTGTGAAACGACGTGTAGCCAGCGCGGTAGTCGTAGTGGTGGTGGTGGTGGTGGTGGTGGTGGTTTGTACCTCACCGTTTCCCACATTCGCCCCTCTCGCATGCGGGCGTCTTTTTCGAAAAGTACTGATCGATCGCGACCTTCGTCGCCGAGAGTCGTCGCGGGCGAGAAGTACGCGCCACTCGTCTCGTAGACAAGTCACGGTGACATAGTCTCCGACCGATATATCTGAGGGTGGAAACCGCCGGGTTCCCCAAGAGTACAAC